TTGGAACGACATGAGGGTGAGTAAATGATGACAGAATTTTCATTTTTGGGTGAACTATCCCTTTAAGTGACTGCACTTAATTAAATTAAGAAGAATTCAATTATTTATTTTAATTATTTAGCCTGACATGTTTACTGTTCCAAAATGTTCTCTGTTTCTTAAAAATAAAATGTATTGTGTTCAGTGAGAAAAAAAAGTATTTTTTTACCCAGACATTTAAAAATAACATATATTTGAGCTGTAATCGCAATACCGTGATACCGTGATATTTTTTTTATCTAAGGTTATCATACCGTCAGAATCCCGGCCCATGCCTATACTGTAGTTAGTGTGGCACTGCTGGAGTCTGAAGGGATATGCACTGAGGTATTTTACCATGGAGTAAAATGCTAAGAATAGAATGGGAAATTTGCCACATAATGTCTCTTTAAATAGCCAGCCTTTTTCTTTAAATAGCCAGCCTTTTTCATGACTCCACATTCCATTCCATTAATTACAATTCTGTAAGTTCACCCGCATCAATACATAAGGCAGTGTAATTTTATTCCAGTTCATAATCTGTCCTGATATTTTCTGTATGTCTATTGTTTAAAATGCACTTGTTTTCAATGGGTGGATTTATGTGATCAACACCATCTGACCCCAAAGACGATTACTGTACAAACTGTATCAAATATCTGCAGATATCAATACAGAGAGCGGTTCATTTATCCATAGAACTGATCTCACCCCCAGTCTAGTCTGGCAACCTATTATTGAAAAAGCATGAATCATTGAAAAGATGCTAAATTTAGCAACCAATATGGCTTCCACAAAAACAGAAGGAAAGACAATGCCAGCAGCCTCCCAAGCTTTGCCCATACAAATCATGCTCATTTCTGGGTTCAAATTATTCCCTCTATAACTCTATATATAGCTCAGATTATTGCCTCCACATTTATAGAAAAATTATACTGGTACAAAGATAGCATCTCAAATACTTTAAACCTGATAAGTGGTAAGGAAAGAAATGTATCCACAAATAAAATTTCAAAAAGATTCTAAATAAAGTATCTGAAAACACACACATATTGGTTCATGCTGATATTGTAAATAAAAAGATTAATATTATATATATGTGTGTTATTTTATTATCATTCAGATACTATTGTACTTTTTGAATTTTTGTTTTATATATATTTTCTGATTTCATGTTAATTTTAATTAACGTTTTAGTAATTTTGTATTTTTGTAATTTTTTTCATTGTTTTTTTGTTTTCAAATATGTCTATATAGATATTATTTTGATTTCAGTTTTAGTTATGAGAAATGTTGTCTTGTTAACTATTAACATGTTATTACATTTTTATTAGTGCTGGGCAACGATGAAAATTTTTAATCACGATTAATCGCATGATTTTTCTGTGATTAATCGCACTGGTATGCACAAAATTCAATGAAATAAAAAGTAGTGTATTGCACACTTTTTTCATTTAAAAGTACTGCTATATGAACAAAAGTGCAATAACATTTGGTTTGCAAACACTTTAAACAAATAAGGTGCATTTTTTACAGCAGTATTCCTTTTACATAGTAGCAGTTAAAGTATTTCTTGTAAATCTCAACTTAAACATTAATGTAATCAAATTAAATTTAAAACCAAAGCTATTTGCCACTGCCAGGGCATTAACGTTTTTTATAGAAAAATTTCATAGTTTGTTAAAACAAGTTATGCTCAGAGTCCAGAGCCTTTTTTATAGAAAATATTTTATAGTTTGTTATAGAAAAACAAGTTATGCTCCAGTAGAGTCCAGAGCCTCGATCATAACATTATAACAGGCACCTTCCGAGTAAAGGCTGATTTATAATTCTGCGTCGAACCTACGCCGTAGGCTGTGCGTAGTGCGCGCAGGCTACGGCGTAGCCTGACGTGCACCTCTCCAAAAATGTTACAGTGCGTTAATTCTACGCAGACCACAAGCACTCTGATTGGTCTGCTAGTACCCCTCCCTCCATATGTATTTGAGTTTTGTGTGTTTTTTGCACTTATATATATTTTAATGTTACACCTTCTTATTTAAAATAAAACAAAGCAAAGAACAAGTCTGTATCAACAATGTCCGACGCAGAAGTATAAATCAGCATTAGGCTTAACGTTAGAGACCTGCACTATCGTGGGACTCGCAGGACCCAACGCAGCAGAATGCGGTGCGGGACAACACTTGATGGGCGAGTGCGGGCGGGTAGAGACTCGTGTGTGCGGGATGCGGGAGAATAAGGGTGTACTCACACTAGGCAATCTTAACCGTGCCCGAGTGCTTTTGACCCCCAAAGCCTGGTTCGTTTGACTAAGCGGTTCGTTTAGCCGTCCCTGGCTCGGTTGGAAGAGGTGGGCCAGAGCGCGGTTCAGTTGGGCACGGGCATGGTACGCATGTAGTGTGAGTGCTAACTGCGGCGGAGTGCGGAACTTCTGATACGTGCAGCATGATTGCGTGAACATTTCTGAGTGGCAAAAGTGATAGATCTGTAAAGCAATATATCGTGAGAGGGCCGTGTGTTACCACGTCACAAACGACTCAAAATAATAAACCACAAAGTTAACAAAACGATGCACTCCACTGTGCTGAGCGAGAGTGCTTCTCTGCTGTCTTCACGTGCTATCGTAAACTTCCTATTTCCCATTTATGAAGTTGTGATTATGAGCACGTTGCATTCTTTTCTGTTAAAAATAACAGTGAACAGTGGTTTGTGAATGTATATGTGAGCGCTGAAGTCTTAGGCTCACCCCAAATGCACTCATTGGTTGAGACGCGTGATGACGCCCATCCCAAGCCAGTACTGATCAACATCCCACCCCTCCTGTGACCCATGGTTTGTCTGTGTGTGTATTCAGAGCCAGTGAGCAATGTGAGCAACTGTGTTAATGCGTGATAAAATAATTGTCGGCGTTAATTAATTAATGCGTTAACGTGATAATAACGCGTTAACTTGCCCAGCCCTAATTTTTATATAGAAATTTTGAGATTAAGCAATGGTACACAAGTCGAAAATTAACAGTAATTCTGCATCGTTTGCAAAAATAAATAAATAAATAAAATTAAAAAACCTCATGCCACATTAGTTAAATTAAAAAGCAAGTAGGATGATTCATCACTGACCAAAGCCAATCACAAAACACCTCCCAGTATCGCTATGCCACAAGCAGTGTCAGCCAGCGCGCACACACACACACACACACACACACAAACAATCATTCAGTCCAATCCGCAGGAACTCTGTGCCCTGCTAATGCGAGGTCATCCATTTCCTCTCCCTTGGATTTTAATAAAACTATCTCATTTATATCCTTTTGCTGTAAAACCTGCCATCCCTAATCACTAAAAGGCTTGGCCTATAGCAGGTTTCTGTTATTTATTTTCATTTCAAGCCAATCTGAAAGCATTGTGGTTTCTGAGCAGAGCTGTGAGATGTGTGGTTATTTACTTTGGCTGTTAGTAGAAATTATCTTGCATAATGTCTTTACATAATTCATATTCATATTATGCAGCAGGTAGTGTCATGTTATAATTGGAACTGCAAGGCTGTACAGTAGATACACTCAGCAGACAAAGTGTTATCTGCAGCAAAATGTTTCCTTGTCAGACAGTCAAAACTGTAATATATATCCTCACAAATCTAAATGACTAAACTACTAAAGAGAGCAAACCCGTTATGACAGCAACTGTTCATGCTTGACATGCCATAAAGAAGCCAGCCATATCAATAGCCAGCTAACGTAGCCCTGGAGATCTGAATTGAGTTTGGTGCCAGTTATACATCAGACTATCCAACTGAATGACTCAGAGGGCTCTTCCAGCCACTTGTAAATCATATGGCGCATATGATGTACTCCTCAGTGACCTCTTCAGTCTGGAGCAAGACCAACGAAAAGCCAGTGTATCACAGAACGACTAGCATCCCTACCTTAACGTACAGCTGCTGGAACTCATCCAGGTTGAGTCGGCCACTGGGGCAATCCTTCAGGAAGCCTTTGTACCACTGTTTGAGTTCATGTTCATTAAATTCTGTGTTCTTCACCAGGTCCTCCATTACCTCAGGGGTCAGCTTGCTGTTCTGTTTCCCCATAGTGTCTGCAAGGCACAGAAATCAAAATAGCTGTGATCTCACTCTGTCTGGAGCTGTAGTTCATTTTAACTGTGTGAACTGTATAAACTGTATAAAGGTTGTTCTATAAAACTGAGGCCATTTATGTCCCTCCCATAAACTACCATTCAAAAGGTTGGGGTTGGTAAGTTTTTTTTAAGTTTCTTATGCTGACCAAAGCTGCATTTATGGTCAAAAAGGCAGAAAGTATTATTATTTTAAGATGCAATTTATCCCTGTGATGGCAAAGTTTAATTTTCAGCATCATTACTCCAGTATTCTGTTTCATGTGATCTTTTAGAAATCATTCTAATATGCTGATTTGGTGCTCAAAAACATTTCTTATTATCAATGTTGAAAACAGTTGTGCTATTTAATATTTTTATGAAAACTGTGATACTTTTCTCAGGATTCTTTGATGAATATAAATTTCAAAAGAACAGTATTTTGAAAAGCAATGTTTTTAGTGGCACTTTTGATCAGTTTAAACTAGGGTTGCAAAAAAAGTGGAATATTTCTAGAAAATTTCGGAAACATTCCAGAAATTTTGGAAACCTCCGGGAATTTTGGGAAATTGTCCACCCCTTTGCAACCCTAGTTTAAACCATCCTTACTGAATAAATTATAAATTTCTCTCAAAAAATACAAAACATTTACTGACCCCAAACTTTAGTATAAATATAAACACTTTTGTATTCATAAACCCAGACAGAACATTTAAAACCTTATAAAACTCACATTCACTTCCCACATCATAATCACCTACAAAATCAAACATGAAAAGGAACCCATTTCACAGAATGGACCATACATTTGTTTAAATAAGTGGCAGTTCAAGAAGGCGTTCTTTTAAAGCTAAGTCTGGATTCAAGGTTTCTTCTTTATCTTAAAGGGGTCATATGATGTTGCTAAAAAGAACATTATTTTGTGTATTTGGTGTAATGAAATGTGTTTATGCGGTTTAAGGTTAAAAAAACACATTATTTTCCACATACTGTACATTATTGTTTCTCCTCTATGCCCCGCCTTTCT